CGAGCAGTGATGGTGAACCTTTTAGAGACTGAGTGCCCAAACTCCGTGTTTGTGTGGGTTTCTTTTGGGAGGGGGAGGGGCAAGCAGAGAGGGTGGTGCTCATACTGTATTTCAGTGGAGCTAATTACCAGTCAGATTAGTTTCAGAACCTGAGGATTCCAGTCCAGAACCTGAGACTCAGGAACAGCCTCTGCTCATGCCGTTAAATTTGATGGATCAAGTATTGATCACAGTTGCTATTAGTCATATGGATTTTTCCTGTTTTGAAATTAAGAAAGAAATCTTAACCAGGGGATATCTTTGAGGTTATGGGGTGTATTGCATCTGATTTACCAAGGGAGATGGGATTTTAAAAAACTACCTATAGCCTAGTACAGAGAGTGAAGCCTGGCATCACAAATTGGAGGGAAGGAAAAAGCTAATTACGTAAACTCATAAATCTCCTGGAGGCTCTTTTCAAGTCATAGCAGCAAATTGATTTAGCCTTGCAATCCATAGCAAACAACTGCTCTTTTTTTCCTGCCTTGAGCATAGCCACCAAACCTGGAGAATGTGCCCCTCATCTGTTTTCTGGAAATGATCCAAAAATTGGGGGGATTCCAGGCTCAGTATTGAGACCTGGAAACCCGATCAGGATTGGAACAAGTAGAGGGAGTTTTGGGATTCAAGGCTGAGGAAAAGCAGTTCAGAAGTTCTGTTCAAATATATAGTGCTCACATCTCGAAGATATTGAAGACATGCACATTATCTTACTAGCAATGTTTGCAAAGCTCAGTATCTCCCCAGTCATAAAAGAGCACAACCACAGAAACTCTCAGCCATTCTTTTTTACTATTAGACATCTGTTCTCTTCGTCTTTTCCTTTCATTTATTCCAGTTTGAAGTTACTGAGCATGGGTGACCATAGCTTGACATTTTTCCAAAAAAAGGTTTTATCTTTAATAGGATAGAATCTGCATTCAGGGTGGGGGGGGGGGGAGAGATTGTTTTCAAACTGTGTGTGTAATTGTAAGCTAGCCCCACTGGACTGAAAGGCTTGGTCCAACACTGGTCACCTGCTGTTAGGAATTGTACTGGTTGGCATTTCAAAGCTAGTGAAGGGATGTTTTAATCTAGTTAATAGATACAATTGCTTAAAAAAAGAGAAAAAAATGGAAACGTTCCTTTCCCCTAGATGAATGTTTTTATCAAATCACCGCACACCAGCAGAAGCTCAGAACATGATTTAAGGATTTATTTTTAAGGCCCAGCTATCAATATTTTTAGCCTCACACAGATGTGAGAATCGCTGTGAAATGAAAGTATAAATCTGGCTTTTGTCTTGTCCAAATCATATATGAATGCAGAAGTATGTAAAATGTAAACTACTTAAAATGGAAATGATACAGCCAAACTTCACTTTTGCTTTGGTAATGTTGGCCAGAATCCTTTAAGGGAGTTTTGCCTTCATATATGCATTTACGCATTCCAGAATCAGAACTGGGAAGTTTTGTAATGTCCATATTTTCTAGATCAGAGGTTCTAAAACATTTTCCACTCACGACCCCTATCTGCCCGAGAAATCTTTATGTGACCCTGGGTATCTAGATACATAAAATAGGTATAAAAACCAAACATGTACTGATAATTTATTAGTATTTGCAAGGCTTACTAACAGGATAATTTTTCTTTTTTATGAAGTACAGCTGATGCATTTTCTGCAGAATCTACTGTAAACACTGCACACTGTTGCTAACAGATTTTTATAAATGTCTACAATAGCTTCTAGGTTGGCAAATTTTTCACAACGCTCACTTTCAGTTATGGTGACCTCATTTGGGATTGACACCCACAGTTTAAGACGCACTGCACAGAGGAGTGTCATTGCTTTAGTGCAGGGGTCCTCAAAGTTTTTAAACCGGGGGCCAGTTTACTATCCCTCAGACCGATGGAGGGCCGGACTATAGTTTTTTTTTTAAAAAAAATCAATTGAAAAATTCCTCAGCACATTGCACATATCTTATTTTGCTGTGTGGAAGGGCCCTTAGAGGGGGTTCTTTCTAGCCCTCTTTAGGCAGTAATTCCAGGAGCAGAGAATGGGAAATCTTCCTATTTCTAGTCTGACCAAAAATCTGGCTACCAGTATTTAAAAACTCTAAAATTATAACTGTAAATAAAGAACAACACTCAAACACAGGGGAACTCCAGACAAGAAACAATCAGGGCCAGCTAATCATCTCTCAACAAAGGATTCTCCCTAAAAACTGTCAGGCTATGAAATGGTAATCAAGGTGGCCAATTGAAACATTCATACCTACCTCTAACAGACAAGAGTTCTTTCTCCCACCCTGGATATTCCACAATTTTCCTGGTTAAAGGTTTTCCTCTGACATGAAGTCGTGTCTGACTCTGTGGTGCTCATCTACATTTCTAAGTCGAAGAGCCAGCCTTGTCCATAGACATCTCCAAGGTCATGTGGCCAGCATGACTGCATGTAGCGCCTGGGCAGCCTCCCTTGGCTGGCTCACGCTGTCCATCAGGCCTGAAGGATAGCTTGAGCCTGCCAAGGGAGGAGCAGGCCCGCGCGGCCTACTTGTGAGTAAAGCACCTCGCGAGGTGCTTTACTCGCGAGTAGACCACGCGGAGCAGCCTCCCTTGGCTGGCTCACGCTGTCCATCAGGCCTGACGGATAGCATGAGCCTGCCAAGGGGGGGGAGCAGGCCCGCGCGGCCTACTTGTGAGTAGACCACGCGGAGCAGCCTCCCTTGGCTGGCTCGCGCGGCCTACTTGTGAGTAAAGCACCTCGCGAGGTGCTTTACTCGCGAGTAGACCATGCGGAGCAGCCTCCCTTGGCTGGCTCACACTGTCCATCAGTTCTGATGGATAGCATGACCCTGCCAAGGGGGGAGCAGGCCCGCGCGGCCTACTTGCGAGTAGACCACGCGGAGCAGCCTCCCTTGGCTGGCTCACGCTGTCCGTCAGGCCCGATGGACAGCGTGAGCCTGCCAAGGGAGGAGCAGGCCCGCGCGGCCTACTTGTGAGTAAAGCACTTCGCGAGGTGTTTTACTCGTGAGTAGACCATGCGGAGCAGCCTCCCTTGGCTGGCTCACGCTGTCCATCGGGCCCCATGGACAGCGTGAGCCAGCCAACGGAGGGGCACTGTGTGGGGGGGTGCTCCTCCTCCGTGGGCCGGATCGGAGCCCTTGGCGGGCCGGAAGTGGCCCGCGGGCCGTAGTTTGGGGACCCCTGCTTTAGTGTATAGAGAGCCAGCAAAATGACAAACACTGAATGGGACCCATTGTGTAATTGGAACCAGTGCACAATAGTACCTTATGCACACAATGGATCTTGATTCATATTAGGACCAATGGAGTACAGGAGCAATACGAAGCAGTCCTCAAGTCGATACACATTTGTTTTTTTTTTTTTTTTTTTTTTTTTTTTTTTTTTTTTTTTTTTTTTTTTTTTTTTTTTTTTTTTTTTTTTTTTTTTTTTTTTTTTGGGGCATCAGCTAGAAAGTGCCAATGTGCATCAAGCTCTACCTTTGCACATTGACCTGCTCTTGTCAGTGTCCCCCTTGTCCAGCTTCACAATTCACTATCATGGCTTCTTAGTGTCTCAGCTATATAGTTATTTATGTAACGTAGATCATGATGTATAATTCCAGCCATTAATATTAGTGATTATAGCAATAGTTGTTTTCAATGATATTAATGAAAAAATAACAATATAAAGTGACAGTGGTGTTTAAAAACAATAAATAACAGGGCAGCATTCTTGTTAATTGGAATCATATCCAGAACACATTTCAAAATATGCAAATTAAAGTAGATTTATCCTTATTTTGTGTGGACTTTTAGTAGAAAGTTTATACTATATTACACAATGGTGTGCTTTTAATGTAATGTAGTCTTTGGATTTATATAGTCTGATTTAAGGTTGGAAAGCTGATATGTACACTAGGCATTTGGCAACACGCAAAGCTCATTCACTTGTACTTTCAAGGTAATTATGAATAAAGAACCCTATTTTATATCAACCATTATTTCCTAGTTTGAAGCAAAACTAGGAAATAATGCTTCCCCATTTTAATCATGGTGGTTGACTTTATGATTAACTGAAGACTTTCAGTGAGTTGTGAGTTTACCGGGCTGTATGCTCATGTTCCAGAAGAGGGCTCTGTTGGAAACGAGACAAGTAAGGTTTGTCCTACCCTGGACATTCCACAAATATAAAAACCCACTTGTCTAGTTTCCAACAGACCCCTCAACCTCTGAGGATGCCTGCCATATATTTGGGCAAAATGTCAAGAGATAATTCTTCTGGAACATGGCCATACAGTCCGGGAAACTCACAGCAAGCCAGTGATTCGAGCCATGAAAGCCTTCGACAACACATAGAAGACTTTCATCTTCTATGTGGGGGAAGAATCCAAAGCACATCTGCACATTGTCGGAAGACTTATTCTTAACTTGATTCATTAAACTGAGATATAATTGTCTGGTGCCCATATTAACTTGTATGGGCACTGTCATGACATACACACAGTTCTTGATCAAAGCTTTCTGAAGTTAGGAGAAAGCCATACTGAGCTGTTGCACAAAAACAGGAACAAGGTGTCTTGCATCCTTGGGAAAAGCTTTGACAGATTCCATTCCCCTAAATTCCACAAGAGCTGGGCCAGATCAAACATGTTAGGGCTGGAGACCTCTGCTGTCTTCGATGTCATTTCCAGAAGCCTAGAGTGACAAACCATTCTAGGCGATATGGTATAATTAGTCAGGGATGATGGAGGTTGTAATCCAATATATCGGAGAACCTGCATGATCCTCATTGGCACGATGGAGTCCTGCTGTAGACTAATCAAAATGGAAAGTAGTTTACGGATAATCTTCATCCCTTCATATTCATGTAGGAAGTGCTTAAAATTTCAGGAATGTGTATGCTAAGTTAATACCACATAGTATGGTTTTGTAATATCAATGCAAGCATTTTAAAGTTTTGCTTTCATGTTGTGTTAGTACAGGAATAATGTCTCTGCTGGCTATGGACCACTGTTGGAAGGGCCAGAGACAGTAAGTGTGAGGTTTATATATGGATGTGAATGAAACACTCCAGACTGTTCACATGAGGGCATGCATGGAGTCCTTTTACCGTCCTAAAGCATGTTTCCACTGCCTTAAAGTTTCCATGTGGATCTGCACAAGGAATCTTTAACCCATGCAAAATGCGTTCCCATGTGCTTGATTTCTTTTCTTTCTAGCAGAATAGATGTACCACGCTGGCACAATCAGACTTAGCTGTGTGATATGGGAAAGCACAGTAAGAGCTTTACACAATGTAAAAATGAACACAAGCTGATAAATACTACTAGTCACTTGCCTGTAAACACTTCACATGGCCAGATGTGTATGCGATTGATATAGATAGGCTACACAGAGACATATTCAAGAAAAGATTGGATTGAACATGTATTTATAACAATCTAATGCTGTATTTAATGAATTAGACATTTCTGCAAATTGTCATGCTTTGAAATCTAGAGTCTTTCCTCAAATTCCTGGTAAAATGCATGCAGGTCTAGAAGTCATTTTAAAGGGCTGTAATCCTTCATCAGTGTGTTTGTTGGTTGCCTAACATCTGTGGATTGTTAAAATAAGTTATTACACAGACCTGCTTTAGTTTAGATTAGTTTGGACCACGGCCCAGTATTTTCAATCAGGGTATAATTCCTGCATGCTGCTAGATTGCTTGCTCCACATACTTCCCTGCAAAATATTTGTCCGTAAGCAGCTTTCTCACTGAAACTGTTATATCACTTCAAGGGTTGTCTGCTTTTCCCAACCATTTTGGGGAAGGGCTTTTGTCTGTGCCCACCCTCGCTCCCACCTCTTTGAACCAAATATAGCACAAGGCTCACCCAGCATGCGCTAACTAAGCCCTGGAGAGAATCCTAAACCGAGATGGTAGTATAGCCTCCATGTGAGTACAATGTAGATTTCCTTCGTGTATAGTTTTGTGCTGTGTGTATGTGTGCATGTGTAAATTCTCTAGCTTATCGCTCTAAACAGTGGGCAACTTGCAGGCAAAGATTTTTGAACTTGTTTGTGTATATTTATACGTGATGCCTATTCTGGCTGTTTTGGATGTATAGCAAATATGTGCAATAAGAATTGTGAAAGTACATAAAAACAAAAGTAGAAATATTTAATTTTCAAGGATGTGCTTTTCCCTATAAGTTTAGTTATGCATAATGAAATTCAGTAACATCTGTCACTATTATACTGGCAATTATATTACAAATGCATTGCATAAAGATGATATTTTATTTGATGTTAATTATTTAAATAGAGTTGGAAGTTTGGACTTATGAAGCACTTTTGAGTTTTATTCAGTACACCAGATAGGCCCTAGAAACATTTATTTTGGCTTTCTAATTTTGATTGGAAAAGAATCAGGGAACATTGCTCATTGTCAATGAACTTGGAAACTTTGGGATATCATTCTGCAAAGGTCTGCTTAGAAGTGTCATCTCTTTCACAAAAGTCATCTCTTTCACAATCTTAGTATCTTATCAACATGTCTAATATTTTGTTCTGGGCCATTAGATTTCACAGATATAATTATAATATTATTTCATGGATAAACTTGTCTGTTGAAACACACGTATGCAGCAGTACATAGGAGTCATCTAGTGATGGTTTGCTGGTAGACTTTCAGTTTGATTTTACGTGAACATTTAGATAGTGCTGCCCTGTGTTTTTGTTTGTTTGTTTTGCAAAACTCCAGAAATGTTTAATTCCTCCAGTGCATTTCAGTCAGACAAAAGAAAGAAAGGAAACCATAATCAGGAATGTTTTTCACTGCTTCCTGTTGCTGATGCTATCCCTATAATTCTGCTGAGGCTTATCTGCTCATTTTTAAATGATTCATACCTGTTTGTTTTGCTGCTTGTATATGTGTTTGATAAGATCCCATGATTACTTTTGGCAATGAAACTAATTAATTTTGTTATAGTAAATACTTGCTTCTTTTGTCTAAGTATGGAGGAAAAAACTCTTCTTCCATCAATGGATAAATACATTCAATTTTTCTGCCCACAATTTAAATGCTTCATTCATCACTAATACTGGGCACAGCCCTCAATAAAAAAATATACAATATATTTAGAAATTTCTACAACTTAAATTCTATTATCTATGCAAATTTAAAGATACTTTGCTATCATTCCTCATTTCTTAACTATGTGGAACTGTCTTGGGCACATATTCTGCTTATTGTGATGATATTTCATTATCATTTATTTGCATATTAAATATATTGAGCTTCTGTGGCATATTTTCAAATATTTGGAGGGTTGTAGGTGTTTCTACTTTGCATGTTAGCTGCCAGTGAGGATCAGCAACACTGTGGATATTTTCCATTTCCCCCTAAAATTTCATCTCTTACTCATTGGACCTTGCTTATACATATCTTGGTTACTCAGTTTATACTGCGTTTTCTCATTCTGTTATGCATGTCATTCATCATTTACTTTTTTCTATAATGTGTTTATTTCTTTATTCTTTCTTATATATATATGTATATGTGTGTGTGTGTGTGTGTGTATGCCATATTTTCTAACAACTTGATCATGTTTACATTTATTGTAAAAAGTGTTTTTGTTTTTTGTTTTGTTTTCAGACTTAGATTTAAGTAAATGTGCACAGGATTCCCATGTAACTTTATGATCTGTTGCACTGCATGACTGGCTGCCTTGATCCCTGCATAATCCTTCGGGCCATCATCTGGCTTTATGTTGCTGTTATCCAGTGTTATGGGAGGAATTTATATTTTTAAATACCTAGTAGTAATAGCTCAGGAATGCTTGCTTGTATACAGACCTCCAGAAAGCATATAAACATTTATGGAAAATGAGTATTTGATCTTATTAAATGTTTCTGTAATAAATCAGCCTTTCATTTTATTTTCCTGCAGTGATGTTTCCATGTACTGATTCAAAATTATCACTGGTACAGATAATGGTAGTATATTAAACATAAATGACGAATTGGTATACAGTAGATGTGAATAACTAGAAGGGTAACAAGCAGTTGACTGCACATGTTTAGTTCTTCAATATCCATTAATAAATGAGAGATAAATTTTGGCTTGAAAACTATTACCCATAGTTCTGGTTCACCTTACATTTCACACACGGACACTGCTTTGTTATTCTCATCATAAAATCTGTGTTTGATGATTTTTAAATAAACAATCCTGCTACTATTTCATTAATCTTTTTTGATGTGGGCAGAATCTGAGCCACTGCTACTAAAATTACTTGTATAGTTTCTACATTTATTATGTTTTCACTCCACTCTTATCCAAGCAGTTCAGGTAAAATAGGCCCCAACCACACTGTCATATAATGCAGTTCAGTACAGTGAAACTGTATTATAAAACTGTATTATATGGCTGTTTGGATGGGGCCATAGTCTGCCTTATACCATGTCAGACTGTTTGCTCATCTAGATCAGTAATGTTTGGGTCTGGCTCTCACAAGATTTGGCAACAACTCTCTGTGGTCTCCTTTTCATCATCTGGTGCCTTTTTATCACTAGAGACTGAGCCTGGTGCTCTTTTCAGGAAAAGCTTATGCTATACTACTATTGAGTGATGGCCCTGCCTTTCCACCCAAAAGACTGATAGATGATACCAAAGGTGCAGCTACACTAGAATTAATGCAGTTTAGCAAAAAAGCAATGGTTACTTTGCTGCCTAGGCAATTGTTGCCTTCCATTTGTTGTTAATTGGTACAACACACTTTCAGGAATACTGATGATACACAAATGTTTGGGGCATACCAGCTTGCAGTATGTTTGGTTCCCTAGAGTAAGAATAGCACACTCCCCATGAGCATGTTATAAGCATGAGCACCAATACACATGTTACCAAGGCAATTTTGTTCTTCAACTAAGCTTTTCAGCAACTGCTAAATAGTTAGACTATTATTTTTCTTTGTAGGTTATGTGGGTATGCAACCTATGTCGAAAGCAACAAGAGATCCTGACGAAATCTGGAGCATGGTTCTTTGGAAGTGGTCCACAACAGCCCCCCAGTCAGGATGGAACGCTGAGTGACACTGCCACTGGTGGCGGTTCGGAGTCGCCTAGAGAAAAGAAGGCACGGCTTCAAGAGCGGTCGCGGTCCCAAACACCCTTAAGCACAGCAGCCGCCACTTCCCAGGAAATCTCCTCCGGTGCACAAACTGACAGAAGAAAAGGCACAGAGGCATCACAGCAAGCTATGGGCCTGGAACAGAAGCAAACTTCGTCAAGATCTAGAAGTGAACCCCCAAGAGAGAGGTAATGCCGAAGCCAAGGAGCATTACTTCTGTAACCCTGGCAAGAATTGGAGATATAACACTAAGCAGTGGAAGGGTTACTATAAATGTAAAAGCTCTAAGTGTGGTTTCTTTAAAAGGCAGTGGAATGCACAGAAACATGCTGGTAACAACTGCAGCACTGTATATTTGGGGTGGGGGAGAGTAACAGGAATAGTAAAGTAATTATGGGTACTATTATTAATTTCCCTCAGTAAAAAAATACTGATATTAAGGTCGCCATATTTGTTTTGCTTATTAGTAATGTGACCAAGCTCCTGACAGCACCATCTATCTCTCAACCGGTGGTGGCCATAGCTTTTTGTGGGCAGTCATTTAAAGTACACTCACTGTCCTTTTAGTTTGTTTGTATAACAGGATTAAGTTAGCAAGTTCTGAACTATATTTATGTGCTCACACATAGCATGTTAGAGATAATTTCCAATCTTACCTTCTGTTTGACGTTTTCTGTTGGTGGATGTGGGTTCTTCTGGAATGGTAAGTCTCTACTGCAATCTTCTTGACTTAGGACTCATCACAATGAGGTGCTTGATGTAGGCGCCAACGAGGCAAAACATGGGGCAGTAGGGTGAATTCATTGCCCAGCATCCAGCTTCATTCGTTTGCCCATCATACGCCTGAAAGCATACATTTCTGGCATGCACCCGTGCTGTCCCATGATTTCTTATCTGAACGTGGGTAGTCTCCCATGTTCAGATTTCCTCCTCTTACCACACTTTGCTGATGCAGCCAGCATAGAGCCCCACCAGAAGTAGATGGGCGTCATGGGATGACCTCTGGTGGGCACTTGTCGGCTTCATGGGTGAAGTGTTCTAGGACAGGGAATTTTCCCCATGTGATGGGGTGCTTAGTGCATAGTTAACTGGTAGATATGGAGACACTATAGCCACTAAGGGATTCACCAGACTAGCATTTTAAAATGGGTACCCCCCAGATTCTTCCCATCTTCTGCCTCCTTCAGAACTTTGGGAAATGTAGTTTGGGAAGGTGAGGACCTCTCTAGCTGACAATTCTAAAGGCCCTGCCCTAAACAACATTTCCTAGAGTTCTGTTGGAGGCAGAAGATGCTAAGAAAGTGGGGGTGCCCACTTTAAAACACTAATCTGATGAGGCTTTAACTCGGGTTTAAAGAAGAGTTGAGACAAATTGCAGGACACTACTGTATATACATGTACGTATACATCTAGAAATTATAGTAAAAAATTAACCATAAAAATATAGGTTGACCTATCTACAGGTCAATCACCGTTTTTTGTGTGTATGTATATATAAACTCTTCTCAAAACAGGAACCATTACCTTCTCTGGGTAGAGTGGTGAAAGACAAGAGCTTATTCTGTCTTGGGAAAATCTAAAAGAAGCACAGGTCTCCTTGGTTTTATCCTCTGTGGTTCTGCCTTTGGTCCTTTTGGATGCCCTGGCAGGAAAACTGTGGTGGCAGTAACCACAAGTGGCTGGCCCCTGACCCAGTGCTGGCATTTTCCCCTTCCTGATGAATTTTTGATTTGTCAATGGGTCATATTCATATCCATAATTTTGCCCCCCAAAATTATGTTGTCAACTTATACAGGAGGTCCACCTATTCAGGTGTCTTTGTGAGGGGAAATCAGTCATTTGAATGGGAGGATGTCTAGTGAGGGCATGGCATGATCTGCAGGTTCACCTATGCATTTTATCCATGTGGTCAGCAATGTATCCAAGCCTTCAAAATGACACATACCAGCTCAAGATTAATTTTCAGAAATATAAGAAGACTTCTCCCTACCAATGCTTTCTGATTTGATTCTCGTTTTACTATTTTACATACATAGAAGATACATGTGTTTTATAATGGTTTGTAACAGAATGACTGCTGGTTTTAAGATGCATTCTACACACACATAAAACAGGAAGCAGGATTCCTTTGTTTATATGGAGAGCAGAGCAGACAGACACGCTGGCACAAATATTTAGGCTATGGTTTCTGGTCCTGAAAAGGATTCTTTAATAACCCGACTTCTTATGAGGTCTTTTAAAAATCACTTTCAAAAAGGAAAGTTGAAATAAAAAACTAATAAACAAACCCTTAAGAGATCTCTGAAGAAAAGTTTTAATGTCTTATCTTTTTAAACAGAAATATTGGCAGTTGAAAATTTAATTAAATTAAAAATCTTTCACCCGAACTACACTGGCCATGGAATGTAGTTTCAAATTAGTATTATAGAAAGTGATTCCACTGTGCAGGCACTTACATAAAGCACCTTGAAACCAATTTGAGGGCCAGAAGGTGATTACACAAAGCTCAGAGAGCTGATGCACAGTATGGATTTTGACATGATCCATAGATATGTCCAGGGTCATTCCATAGAGAGAGGAAAGCATCAATACTGCTTCAAGGGTCAGTCAGCCATTCCCATCGCTGCCATTTCCCACCCAGGTATTAAAAAAGTTTTCCAGCCCTTAAATAGGGCACATTCTTTATAACATGGCACACTTGCAACTCTAGATGCTGATGGTTCTGCCATTCATTAAGGATCCACGTCTGTCTGTTCTTTGAACAAAGCAAGGTAGGAAATTAAAGTTTATGTAGGAGCCAAGGTTGATTGGGATTGCTTTGCACAGGCCCAGAGTAAATTTCCTTAGTCCCTTCCAAACAGCCTTGATGCACAGAGAAAACTTGAAGTTCATTTCTTCGCATCTTCAGGTATGGAAAGGCTTTGGACAAAATTCTAGAAAGTCAGTGTAGACACTATTGAGCTAGCTGGAGTATAAGGAACCTTCTCTGTTTCCTATTGTATTGTCGATTTTTGTATATATAGAAACAGTGATTTGTACTAGGTTGGCTTCACTGCTTCTCGTTGTATTGTATTGCATTGTATGATTTTTCCTCCCTCTTAGTTCTCTTTATCTCCATACATTTACATTAGGAAGAAGACATCTGCAGCTCCTGAACAGAATGGGAAAGGAGGTCTAAAAGGTGAGCGCAAACGTGTGCCAAAATCTGCACCTCAGCAGGGTGAAGGACAAACAGATGAGAGGGAAAGTAAAGAAAGACGTGATGGTAGAAGATTAGAGAAAGGGAGGTCTCAGGACTATTCAGACTTTCCACCCAATTTTGAGGAAGGCAAGGCAATAGATGAAGAAAAGCAAAGGAAAGAAGATGACTATCACACTCGGTACAGGAGTGATCCAAACCTAGCAAGGTATCCGGTGAAGCCACATCCTGAGGAGCAGCAGATGCGTATGCATGCAAAGGTATCAAAGGTGCGGCATGAAAGAAGACACAGTGATGTCGCCTTGCCCCATACAGAGGTCGAGGAGCCTGAGGTGTCTGAGAATAAACTAGGAAAGCACCCACAGTTGCCAGCAACTCAGGACATGAAATCTCACCCGGACACTCAGAGGGCATATGCGATAGAAAGAACAGGTGACGTAAGAATTTCCGTTTCTAAACAATTAGCTAACCATAGCTCACCAACTCCCAGGCATAGCGTGGTTCCTACAGAGCACTTAGAATCCAAAAACCACGATTCCTTTAAAACACAGAGTCGCCTAGATCCTAGCTCTGCTATTCTCAGTCGGAAAGCAAAGCGGGAGAAAATGGAGACTATGCTAAGGAATGATTCCCTTAGTTCTGACCAGTCAGAATCAGTGCGACCATCTCCTCCAAAGCCTCATAGATCGAAGCGGGGTGGAAAGAAAAGGCAAATGTCAGTCAGCAGCTCGGAGGAAGAAGGAGCGTCAACCCCCGAATATACCAGTTGTGATGATGTGGAAATAGAAAGTGAAAGTGTCAGTGAAAAAGGTAAGAAATACAAGAGTTACATTTATGTTATATGTGAAAAATACTTGGTCCAAACATTCTTTGCTGTCACTGGTTTTTAATGTTACCAAAATCCAAGGGGATTGTGTGTTTTACTTGCAGTTTTTCTGCCTCTCTTTCCCTCTTGCAAAGCTGAACTGTAGTTTTAGAATTTCAAGGCTTTCACATAATCAATTACTTTTCCATCTTCAATTTTGAAATCGTTTGGGGATATGGTACAGATTGCTGATCAAAGCTAGTATTGACCTCACTGGTTGGAGTGATAGGTAAGGATAGCAGAAGTAGAACAAAATCAGATCCCCACTTTGTGGAACTGTCTCTTGATTGGCCTTGAGGAAGCCACTCTCAGCCTTAGTTCAGAAGATGGCTATGAATTTTCTGCTTAGCAATGAGCTCCTCAGAAGAAATGTATAATACTAGTGTAACAAATAACAAAAATGAAACTTTTGTCCAGCTGAATTCTGTTCAATTTACCGTTGCATTAGGGACACAAGATTGTCCTGGTGGTCTCGATGAACTGAGAGGTTAAGCAAGGGAATAACTTTGTCCCACTGGGCAATATTGTTCAAATTTGCAATGTAGGTACAACCCAACCAGAGACATACATTTTAATGTCTCAACAGGGAAGATTTGAAAACCAAAATGTTTGTGTTGTTTCCTTTCCAAAATTATTTTCATCCTTCCTTTAAATTCAAATAAGAGTTGGCTTGGGTCAAAGTTATCTGAAGGGGATAGTATCACGCTGGAGACCTGTCCAAGCTTTGAGATTTTTGGGACAGGCCTTTCTTTTCTCTTAGGACCTTATCAGATGCAGTCATCTCCCAGTTCCTCCTCGTTGCTGAAACTGAGTTCCATGGAGCCCATCGCATGATGCAAGGCAACTTCTGGCAGGACTTTGTGGGGCTCCGTTTCAGCAGTGTGGAGTAACAGAGACCAGAGTGCTTTTAAAGTAGTCAAGTGTTACCTGACTGCAATTGGAGAACATGAAGAGGAAGCGGAGAAAGGACAGGAAACCACGTGGGATGGGAGGCCATCTCAAAAGACAGGGAAAGACAGTAGGGAGCAGCGGAGGATGGTTCCTTAGCTTTCTCCCACTTTCCCCCATCCATCAGATGAGGTCATTGGTCTCATCATCCATACAGGTACAACCGGTGGGAATGCGGGAGAGGACATTCTTGGTGGTTATTCTAAGCTCAGGAGGGATGCTAGAATAGTAACTTACTTTCTGTCTCTTTTATTCCAACTGTCTTTTAGGATCTGTTTTATTTAATTATATGCTATCCTGTTTTTACTGTGTGTTCTTTTAATAGGTGTGTTTCAGGTGGTTTTAAATTCTGTAAATATTTCATTTCAAAAGTATTTTTACATGTTTCTACTTTTGTGGGTACAGTTATTCACAGGAAGGCCCAACTGATATGTGAAGAGAAAGCAATGAAACAGAATAAAAATATTGTATCAAAACCATAAGTGTGGTGTGAAAAAGCAATTGTGTTGTCTGCCAACACAGTGCCAGTCTTAATACAAGATATTGGTGATGACCATTATACCCCTAAATAACTGGATCTCAAGACTTGGAGCAGCACCTCCTCTACACACTTATACTAAAATGCTGAGGGCTCATTTTTCTCCCCACCAATGGTGAAAAGATAATGTCCCTTTCTTTAGAGGCATAACTGGCATTGGATTTTGTTTCATTTTGATTCCAGGATATAAAGCTCTGGGATCTTATGATTTTTATTTACTCTGTTCATGTATACAGCTACAAGTGTGCTTGAGCAGATGTAAACATTTGGCTCTTTAAATATTTTCACCATTATTGCAGTGGTGGTGGGAAACTATAAGAATTTTCTTGATCACACATTGTGGAATGGTGTCACTCTCAAATTCTCGTTCTTAACTCACCATCTTGGAATAAATTTGAATTCACCATATTGTAATGTATCATTGTGAAATTTAGAATACCTAAAGTAGTGGTTTCCAACCTTTGGTCTTCCAGGTGTTTTGGACTTCAACTTCCAGAAATCCAAGCCAGCTTACCAGCTTTTAGGAATTCTGGAAGCTGAAGTCCAAAACACCTGGAGGACCAAAGGTTGGGAACCACTGCCCCAAAGGCACCAGGTCCTGTCTGATCTTAGAAGCTAAGCAGAATCAGCTCATGTAGTACTTGATGGGAGGTCATCAACAAATTTCTGGTCCTATAGGCTATATTTTAGAGGAAGGAACTAGCCAACCACCTATGAATATTCCTGAATATTCCTCGGTATAAAAAGAAATATCTATGACATTCACAGGATTGCCATGAATCAACTTTAAGGCATGTGCACACAAAGTATGACTTTTATCCTAGGAAATAACTCTAGTTGAATTCTTAATGTGACTTTTTTTTTAGTCATCATCCATAGATTGCTTCTGTGTTTTTTCCAGCTATCACAAATAATTTGTCTGAAAGCAAGCTATTGGTCTTAAATTCTTAAAGATGAAATATGCAGCGTTTCAATTTTGTTGTGTGCTATGTGTTTAGGTTTTTTTTCCTGATATAGAAAAAGTTGTGTAAAATCTGAAGGCAGTTCTCAGCTACTGCAATATTCTTGTCTTGTGTAGCAGCTGTATGAACATTTCTTCATCCTTTTTTGGTTCTGGAGAACTGAGTAACTTATCTTTCATTTTTCATCACATTGCTCATGCCCAAGCTTATCTGCAAAAGACTTCAGACTGAAGCGGAGATATGCCCTGGATTTTCTCTAAGAAAACTTCAGTGAGCCCCAGCTGCAAATGGTGTTTCTACATCCATAATTTTTTGTTTATTAAGTCTCAGAGTTCACAGTTACACAAAATATCAAGACTAAGAAACATGTGCCTTCTAACAGTTGTGAAATTACAGTTCACATCAGCCCTAACATGTGAAGTCAATGATGAGGGATAATGGAAATCAGAACCCAGCACCTGGAAAACCACACATTCTCTACCTCTGCAGTGCAAAATTATCCAAAAGGCCAAACTACATACTATATTAAGACTTCTTCACACAGTCCCTGAGGCTGTGCCATTTTGCCAGCAATGTATAAATCTACACTGACCATATAATGCGTTTTCAAACTGCATTATATGTCAGTGTAGGTGGAGCCAAAGAAGTGGTCTTCTGACTGGCAATTTCACCAGTACATTTGGATATCTTAAGCACTAACATGAGCCAACAAGCAACATGTATTTAGAAATGATAAAAATAAAAGAAGGAACAATGAAGATCAACTAGAAGCTGGCAAGGTGGAATTGGAGTTGATTGGGGGGTGGGAGGGGGAGGACTGACCTTGTAAGGTTGCTAAAGCTTAGAAGGAGCATTTAAAGAGCGTAATTGTGCTGAGTAAGGGAAAAAACATATCTGAGGCTTTAGCCTTTTGCTTTCTGATTCAAGGACATTTGGGATTAGATCCAGATTGATCATAGTCAAAGTAGGAGAAAATTAAGTTTAAGTTAATATGTGTTAGCTAAGGACCTCATCAGACAGGGCGAATTTAGCATCCTAGGATACTTTCACCTTGTTTTCTGGCCATCATACGGCATTGTATGACTTCTGGCAGAGGCCCCACTCCCAACTGAGATGAAACCATTGCCAGAGGCTTTCCCCACAATGGAGCCAGTATGGGTCCTCTCCGGGAGGGCGATGTTCCCACTGCGATGGGGAAAACTTTAACGGAACTGTGTGCAGGGCAACAGATTTGCCTTGCTGCCCCTTTTCTTTTGTCTTGATGTCAGACAAAGTGGGACACTTTGTGTGGCCTTTGTGAAAGGCCCAATTTTGTCAAACTATGGTCTTATTAATTTCATTAGGTTTTCTATAAGGATGAATAAGTCTAGATTTAAATCTTTTAAAATTACTTTTACAAGTATTTCCAAATTATTTCCTGTTTTGTTTCTTTTCATTCTGTAGCTTCCATCCTGTTTCTTCTTCCATCCACATTTTTTGATAAATTGAATCAAAATGCTTTTATAAAATCCAGATGAAAAGCATTCTTAGTGTCTTCTGTGTTTCCAGTGATGTCTCTGCTTTTCCTTCTTTGTGGGATGTATAGATTTATCCCCTAGTTTGGCAACTGTGGACAGCTTCATGGATCTTTTTTCCAGACTAGGTGATTTAGCTAGCAAGTTATCATTCCTATACTTACAAACTGCCTGGTGGGTATAATCCCAGCAATAGAGGCTGCCATTTTGTGTACATTATATTAAACAGCTGTAATGTGCTAGTAATGACTTGTAATTGTCCATTTGATTAGTAGAACAGAAAAGAGCTGTGAAACATAGAAACATAACTGTATTTACTGATGCTGCATAACTGCAGGAGGTCTGTGTAAAGTATCCGAACTCAGTGGTGCCATCTGGTTTAGGTCATGCCATAAGTGTGTCAAATCTGTTCTTTCTCTTCTATGTCAGATCCTTAGATAGAAAAATTAAACCTGAAGCAGAACAGATTAAATTAGATAAACTGTTATCTCTCTGTGGAAAGTAGTTGGTTCTCCCATTTCTCTCTTCTTTTTTTCTCATGCTCTGTCAAAGGAACAGAAGGCATGTTGTGATATGGAACACATTGCATTTGTCCCAACCTAGATGATTGATTTGAGAAAAGGAATAAGCAATGATTTCATACAATTTGCCCTCTTAAATCCAGAATATTGACTTGGAGGGCGGAAACTATGTGACAGAGATTCTTTTTCTATACATTATATTAAACATCTCAAATAGTATCCCTTGCATTGCATAAGCTGAAATAGTTTATTTCCAGCACTTACTTCTTCTGATCCTCAACTCAGGAGCTAAGACCAAGGGTCCTGCCACACAGCTGAATAAAATTCCACATTATCTGCTTTGAACTGGAATAGATGACAGAGTGGACTCAGATAACACAGTTCAAAGCAGATATTGTGGGATTTTCTGCCTTGATATTCTGGGATATAGGGCTATGTAAAAGGGCCCTATTTCCCAGAATG